TTTCATAATAGGGCACACAGGAGTAAAAACGGCAAGTGTAAACGGAATAAAAGTCACGGAACCAAAGTTAAAATATAGCGTTATCGTGCAGTACGTGAACTATGGACAAAAACGGAAAGTATGAATTAGAAAAAAATAAATATAAACAATTTCAAGAAAAATGTTAACTCATCGAATGATTTTATTGATTGTCATGCACTGAAAGTTAAACACGCATCTTCTTTCAACTAGCAAAACATGACTTCCTGATGAATGAAAAAGCGGCGGCGAGAGAATTCATTCCTTATAATGAGGAAAATGACGAAACAACTGTTATTTGTGTGTTATTCTGAATGCGTTTCAGTGAATGAAACCAGCTAAGCCTAAAGCGAATTTTATAATAATGCCGAGGAGATAATTTAAAATTCTTTATTTTGCAGTACGCTAATTAAAACATATAATACACGTTAACGACATGGGTTTTTGTTCCCTATTTCGAGAAATTACAATAAACCCTAGAATAAAAGGAGGCATTCTTATTTAAACAATAATCTAACCTTTTTTTTCTTTTTTTTTACACTTTCAGCCTTGACCACCGATTTACCGTTAGTACAGAAAAATGACGTAATGCCCAGCCACCGGTTGAACGGTGGTAAAGAAAAATGATTTAATGCTCAGCTACCGGTTGAACGGTGGTTGAGAAAAATGACTTAATGCTCAGCTACCGGTTGAACGGTGGTTGAGAAAAATGACTTAATGCTCAGCTACCGGTTGAACGGTGGTTGAGAAAAATGATTTAATGCTCAGCTACCGGTTGAACGGTGGTTGAGAAAAATGATTTAATGCTCAGCTACCGGTTGAACGGTGGTTGAGAAAATGACTTAATGCTCAGCTACCGGTTGAACGGTGGTTGAGAAAAATGATTTAATGCTCAGCTACCGGTTGAACGGTGGTTGAGAAAATGATTTAATGCTCGGCTACCGGTTGAACTGTGGTTGAGAAAAATGATTTAATGCTCAGCTACCGGTTGAACGGTGGTTGAGAAAAATGATTTAATGCTCAGCTGCCGGTTGAATGGTGGTTGAGAAAAATGACTTAATGCTCAGCTACCGGTTGAACGGTGGTTAAACCCTTGTAACTATTTTTATATCTACCGAGAAACATTACATAGCAATTATTTGCGAATTTTGACTCAGGAGATCAGGCAGAAGGGTTAAAATTGTTCAGGAACGCAGAACTCAGTGTTAAAGACATAAATACTAATTATTCCATCAGTTATTGTCTTCTTTTTTGTTGTTTATATAAGAATATTTTCCTTCCATTGTTTTAATCATTTCTAACCAACGAAGGCAATAAAGCCACTAAGTCGCAAGGAGTTACTGAGTGTTAGTTTTTTTTTTTAAGCGTTTCACCCCAAGCAAGGCGGGAAGCCACTAAGACGCTAGATAGAGGAAAGGATGAGGAGAAGGATAGTGAATAGATCAAGGCAACTGGAGATGTCGATTGACATTTCATTTGAATAGTTGGAGATTATAGCTCTCAGGGAAACAGTAATTAGGAAGGGTGTTCCACAGGCGAGAGGTGCTAGGTATGAAGCTATTGGAGTAGAAGAGACGGCTACATTTAAAAGTTTCTACAGTGAAAGGGTGAGAGCGGGATGCCAGCCTCGTAGGGCGCTTGAATTCATGAAGTCTGGGAACCAGCGAATGCAGCTCATCGGAGCAATTACCATGAAAGTATTTGTAAAAAAGACAGAGAGAGGCGACGGCGCGTCTGTGAGAGAGTGACTGTAGACGAGTTGCCAGAACGGGGCCAATTATATTGCATGTCCGCCTCTGGAACTTATCAAGAACCTCGAGGCAAACAGAAGAGGCTTCAGACCATATATGGCAGCAATACTCCATGCAAGGGCGAATTGTTGATTTAGATATTATGAGAAAGAAAGAAAAAAAAAACACTAGAATAGTAAAAGAAGAGTAATTAAGAAGATAGACGATAACGATTGACATTGCATTTCAATTTTTGAAGAGCAAAGTTGACTGGAAATCAAGAAGCCGGAAGAAAATTCCATAAGCATGAAATGCAAGAGAAGAAACTGTTAGCATAGAACTTACGGTTACATCTAGCCATTTCAACTGTAAAATGATGAGACCTTACCGCCAATCTAGTACTGCGCTTAAATTCATAAAGTCTAGGCACCATAGAGTAAAATTCGTGAGAGCACTAAGCATGAAAGTCTTTATATAAAAGGCGCAGTACAGCGGTGAGAAAATGAATGGAGGCAAGATGGCAAGTCAGAACCAATAACATTGCAGATCCTTCTTTGGATTTTAACAAGAATGCCTAAATATATAGCACCACGCAATATATGGCAGCTTTATTCAAAACAAGGACGAATGGTAAACTTTTAAATATGTAAGATAGATACTAGCGAGAAAGATTGTCTAGCTCGATACAAGGAATTAACATTCCTTGCAGCAGACGTAGAAATTGATTCAATGAACCTTTCGATTGATGTCAGCTGAAATCGTTAGTCCGAGAGGTTTCTGGTGGTTCGCATCAGCCATGCTGATGAAAGGTAAAGAGGTTTGTCCAAGACGATTAAAAGAGAGTAGTTACGTTTTGGAAGCATTAGAATAAACAGGCTATCCCTTGCCCCAGTTAACAACAGAAAGTAGATCATTTTTTAGATCAGCTGCCAATTTGACCTGTCATGACTTACTGTTAAGGCAGAAATAAATGGTTATGTCCCAGGGCATAGGTACCGAGTTGAGAACACCAGGAAGATGGTTGACGAAAATTAGGAACAATGCTTATATAGAGGATAGAGTCGTGCGGGGTGTCTGGGTAAAGCTCTAGAAGAGTGGCCATTGTAGAAGACTTTCATTGCTTCATTCATTTACTGAAAGTGCAGTGTGATGTAACATTACTAGAGAAATTGGAAAAATGTTCAGCTCCTTGTACTGCTCTAGAAAGAATTAGACTTCTCCTAGCTTTACTAGATTTACATGAGTCAGATTAGAAAAATAATAGAGTATTGCTGCTGTAACAGGGCTAGAGCTGCCCATTACCAACTTTCCAGCCAAGGACAACTCCAAAAGTGTCTTATTGATATTATGGATGTATCATTATTTCTACCCTACAAATCTATTTTTCACAGACGAAATGCAGCAGGCCTCTTCCTACTCTATCGCTATTTCGATGGCAAATCTTTATTAGTTCCCTCAGTTTCGACCTTCGTAGCTGGAAACCGCAATTCCCGATACACAGGGTCGAATCATTCTCATTCTCTTCGTGTTCCTTCAATAAGAAGGAATTTCCCCTCGGACAGCTACTTCCCAGGAATCGCTATTTTGCAGAAAAGGACTCCCAAAAGGATTCTTCAACGATTACTACAGTCTTAACCCCTTTACGTCTCAGATCAACCATTATCTATTTTGAACGACCACATTCAGTAAGCCTCTTACTTGAATGTCTCTTTGGCCTTGTATTGGGTGAACAAGATTTAAAAAAGCAGCAATGGATTGCTTCTCTTTTTTCGATGAAATTTTAATTCCAGTTTCCTATTGAGTCCTAGTAAATTTGAGACTATGGCCGATGAATAGACCTTTTGCTTTTATTTATCTATATTTTATTTTCAAGTAGACTGCGAGAGTTTTGAAAGAATTCTATAATCAAATATACGCATGCGCACTGACATTTATTTTCTTGACACACAGAAATATTTATCTAGTTCCAATGCTAGCTGCTGTAATGATCCAATGAAAGTAAAGCATGAAATCACGAGATTAATGCATACGTGTGATTGCCAGAGTCAGTCGAAATTTCTAGGGCACATAATGAGAAAAGAGGGATTGGGAAGTTTGTTACTCACAGGACAAATTGAAGGCAAGAGGGACAGAACCAAACAACGCATTACCCTACTATCGAGCTTGAGTAAATCAATGGCGGAACAATGTCTAGGATATATAGCAAAGACAAAATTTCTTAAGAGCTATAAAGGAGAGAAAATTGTGAAGAGCAATGATCTCCAACGTCCTGAAGGGACACGGCACACTGAAGAAGAAGACCTAACAGATCTATACTGGGATTTAACTTTTTTTTTTTTTGAGTGAGTTTTGATAAAAAAAAATGAAGGTATGCTTTCTTCTGTTCGCGACAAACAAACGACATATGCACAACGTTAGACAAAAGCAAACACACAATTGCATATTGTCGCAAAGAGTTTACACACATGCATACGAAAAGTTACCGTTTTCTCACTGCTATCTCTCTCGGCCATTATGACTGGCTTCCTGTGTTGGATTATCTCCCTTGGGTTATCATGGCTGATCAATGATCATGTGCTTCACAATGTCGATCTTCATTTTTCAAACCGAAATGAAACGGGAAAGCGATCTTCCCCTGAGCCTGCGCTTCTTTGATGGATCGTTTTTCCGGATTTCTACACGTTTATTTATTTTACTTTTTCTCCATTTCTTCTGCTTGGTACGACAATGCTTTGTCTTTCTGCCTTTCGAAAGTAGGCGAGAGTATCGAAATTCTTTTCACGGTGTATTCCGCCATTTAAAATACTGCTGAGTGACTTATTCGCTTTGTACTTGTGGCCGTTTTTATGTTGCACGTTCTTAAATGGGAAATTTTTTGAAGGTAGGATTAGAAGTCAATGCCATTCCATTTCTAAGGAAGATTTTGGAAAAATAGATTTTATTGAAAGAAAGAATAACAAATCTGAAAGTGTTAAGATGATGCAGGGAATAGCAAGAAAGAAAAAAGAAAGAAAATAAGAGAATCGGGAGAAAAAATAAAAAAGAACGAATAATAAAAGAAGGACAGACATAAACAAAATTAATAGAGAAAAAAGAAGAAGAGACCGTCAATGGAGAGAATAAAATTTAAGAAAGAAAATTACTGTGAATTTAAAGAAATGAGAGAAAAAGAAAGAAAAAGAAAGATATCTACGCAAATTTGAAAGAATAATAAAAGAACGAAAGAAAAAAGAAAGAAAGATTGCTATCGGCCTAAAATAGAAAGAATGAAAAATTAGCGAAGAAAGAAAGAAATGAGAGAAAAAGAAAGAAAAAAGAAAGATATCTACGCAAATTTGAAAGAATAATAAAAGAACGAAAGAAAAAAGAAAGAAAGATTGCTATCGGCCCAAAATAGAAAAGAATGAAAAAATTAGAAGAAGAAAGAAAGAAATGAGAGAAAAAGAAAAAAAAAAAGAAAGATATCTACGCAAATTTGAAAGAATAATAAAAGAACGAAAGAAAAAAGAAAGAAACATTGCTATCGGCCCAAAATAGAAAGAATGAAAAATTAGCGAAGAAAGAAAGAAATGAGAAAAAGAAAGAAAAAAAAAGAAAGATATCTACGCAAATTTGAAAGAATAATAAAAAGAACGAAAGAAAAAAGAAAGAAACATTGCTATCGGCCCAAAATAGAAAGAATGAAAAATTAGCGAAGAAAAGAAAGAAATGAGAAAAAAAAAAAAAAAAAAAGAAAGATATCTACGCAAATTTGAAAGAATAATAAAAGAACGAAAGAAAAAAAGAAAAGAAACATTGCTATCGGCCCAAAATAGAAAAGAATGAAAAATTAGCGAAGAAAGAAAGAAATGAGAGAAAAAAAAGAAAAAAGAAAGATATCTACGCAAATTTGAAAGAATAATAAAAGAACGAAAGAAAAAAAAGAAAGAAAGATTGCTATCGGCCCAAAATAGAAAGAATGAAAATTAGCGAAGAAAGAAAGAAATGAGAGAAAAAGAAAGAAAAAAGAAAGATATCTACGCAAATTTGAAAGAATAATAAAAGAACGAAAGAAAAAAGAAAGAAAGATTGCTATCGGCCCAAAATAGAAAGAATGAAAAATTAGCGAAGAAAGAAAGAAATGAGAGAAAAAGAAAGAAAAAAGAAAGATATCTACGCAAATTTGAAAGAATAATAAAAGAACGAAAGAAAAAAGAAAGAAACATTGCTATCGGCCCAAAATAGAAAGAATGAAAAATTAGCGAAGAAAGAAAGAAATGAGAGAAAAGAAAGAAAAAGAAAGATATCTACGCAAATTTGAAAGAATAATAAAAGAACGAAAGTAAAAAAGAAAGAAACATTGCTATCATTTAAAAAGAAAGAATGAAAAATTAGTGAAGAAAGAAAGAAATGAGAGAAAAAGAAAGAAAAAAGAAAGATATCTACGCAAATTTGAAAGAATAATAAAAGAACGAAAGAAAAAAGAAAGAAAGATTGCTATCGGGCCAAAATAGAAAGAATGAAAAATTAGTGAAGAAAGAAAGAAATGAGAGAAAAGAAAGAAAAAAAAAGATATCTACGCAAATTTGAAAGAATAATAAAAGAACGAAAGAAAAAAGAATGAAAGATTGCTATCGGCCCAAAATAGAAAGAATGAAAAATTAGTGAAGAAAGAAAGAAATGAGAGAAAAAGAAAGAAAAAAGAAAGATATCTACGCAAATTTGAAAGAATAATAAAAGAACGAAAGAAAAAAGAAAGAAAGATTGCTATCGGCCCAAAATAGAAAGAATGAAAAATTAGCGAAGAAAGAAAGAAATGAGAGAAAAAGAAAGAAAGCATGAATGAAAGAAAGATATCTACACAAAATAGAAAGAATAATAAATGAGAGAAGAAGAAAAGAAATGGGAAAGAAAGAAAGAAAGAAAGAAAGAAAGAAAGAAAGAAAGAAAGAAATATCACAAAATAAAAAAAATAAATGAGAGAAGATAGAAAGAAAGGTGGCTATCAATGTAAAATAGAAAGAATGAAAAATTGGATAATAAAGAAAGAAATAATAGAAAAAGAAAGAAAGAAAGATATCTATCCAAAATAGAAAAAATAATAAACGAGAAAAGAAAGCAAGAAAGAAAGCATGAAAGAAAGTTAAATAGAAAGAAAGTAAGAATGTTATCGTCCCAACATACAAAGAATAATAAATGACAGAAGAAAGAAAGAAAGAATGTTATCAGCCTAAAATACAAAGAATAATAAAGAGAAGAAAAAAGAAATAATGAATGTTATCGGCCCAACATAGAAAGTATAATAAATGAGAGAAGGAAGAAAGAAAGAAAGAAAGAAAGATTGGTATCCGCCTAAAATAGAAAGAATAACAAATTAGAGAAAAAAGAAATAAAGAAAGAAAGATTGCTATCCGCCTAAAATAGAAAGAATAAAAAACTAGAGAAAAAAGAAAGAAATCGAGTAAAAAATATTGAAAGAAAGAATGCTATTGGACCAACATACAAAGAACAATAAATGAGAGAAAAGAAAGAAAGAAAGAAAGAATGTTATCGGCCCAACATAGAAAGTTTAATAAATGAGAGAAGAAAGAAAAAAGAAAGAAAGAAAGAAGTTTGTCTATATTTCTGAGATGAGGTATTATGTACAGTATTTACATTAGTCGGACTATTGTCCTCATCTTTGTCCTCAAGGACACATGGCACAGTGGATAAAGGCGTTGGTTAGATCCAGTGACAGACCCAAAGAAGGTGAGTTCAATTCCTGGTTAAGGCAGTGGAGAACTTTCAGAGGGAAAATTAGCAGGAGATAACTGACATCCATCAAACATGGCACGTGGAATTAGAACAGTCTACCCCGGTGATCGAAATAAAGGGTTCAGTTCGAAATTCCAACCACCTGAAGAAGGCCGGAGCGTACAACGGCCGAAACGTTGTGACAAATATGGCGACAAAGATGAGGACAATAGTCCGACTAATGTAAATACAGAAAGAAAGAAGTATTGTTATCGGCCCAAAATAGAAAGAATGATAAATTAAAGAAAAAAAACAGCAAACAAAGAAAGAAGCAATGAAAGAAACAAAGAAAAAAAACAAAGAATGCTATCAACCCAAAATAGGTAGAATTTTAAATAGGAGAAGAAAGAAAGAAAGAAAGAAAGAAAGAATATTCAATCTAAAAAGAACTATCATTAGATATCCAGAAAAGAATATTAAGTTAGAGAATGTGAGAAAGATATTTGAAGCCTTTTTAAGATGGCTATAATAAAAATGAACAAAAGAACAATTCGTGATTTATCAGAAGAAAAGGAATTTAAAGAAAATATAAAGCGTTAATGACATAAAAATAAAGGGAAGAAAAGTAAAGAGAGTCAAATAAATTCAGACAAAATCATTTAAGTGAATAAAAAAAATAAAAGCGAAAATGAATGACTAAAAAATGGCTCAACACTTTGCATAAAAGACAAAGAGAAAAAACAACATAAAATAACAAAGAAGGGAAAGGAATAGGATGTGGAGGAGAGAAGAAAGATCAATGCTTAAATCGAACGGGAAAAAATAATGCAATATATAAACCGTGTGTTGATGTATGCATGTCCGTCCGAAACTCAGAATATTAACCAAATGTCAGAGCTTTGTTACCTTAATGTGTATGCATGTGCGTAAATGTATTTGAGAATGTGTCTGAGGGAGTGTTTTTATGTGCAAATATTTCGTGAAATTGTGACATCTAATACAAATGGTTTAATCATTTACATATACTGCTACCCGGGAAGTCTAATGATAGGAGGATTCCGAAGGTCCCTCTGAACGGGGAACTTGCCACCGACAAAAGAGCCCGAAGGCGACGTCATCTTCGCTTCAAGGACGTCTGTAAGAATGACAGGAAGGCAATGGGCATGGAAATCAAGGCATGGGAAGACGTCACCAATGATCGATTAAGACGTGATTTACACCGAGAGCTGCAGTGAGGCTGAGGAGGAAACGAAGGTTTGCCGCCGGGGTGAAGCTTGCTCGAAGGGAAAAAAAATAACACAACAACACCGGGGAAGAGCGTGGTTACATGCATTGGTTGCAATCGAGACTGTCACGCCCGTGTGGGCCTTTAAAGCCATAACAGATGCTGCACCGCAATCAGTAGCTGAGGTATAACTTTTGAGGCGCAGATTCATGGTCTCTCCAGACCGACAGATGTCTCATTATTAAATTGAATAAATTTTTACGTTATCAATAATACGACCGCTGAAAACATCCAATTCTTGATAATGACTGAGACGATAGAAAATAATTGCAAAACAGAAACATTGGAAAAAGTTTAATGTTTGTAATTAAGTTTCGTACATACGTGTATGTGTGCGTGCATCAATATGTTTTCATAGCGTCCGCCCGAACCGGGTTAGGAACGCCATTTCTTTAATGGCTACTTTTTCGTACGCAAATGAAATCCAACTGAGAGTAGTGTAGAGAAGAACGAACTCGTGTCTGGTATCAACGTAATCACATGGTCGGCTCCTGGAAGCATTTCCAATTTTCGGCGGAAATATGTGACTTTGGTCACGACCTGGGAAAGGACTTCTACGTGGAGGCATTGTAATGCCCATTTGTGTGTTTATTGACCAATTAGAAGTTGAGATTTTCTGAAAATATTAATGAGGATGGATAAGCTCTTTGATCCGCTTTTTGCCCAGATTTGTACAAAAATTGATCTTGATCAGAAAAAAAGTGGTAGCGGGATGCTAAAAACACATCTCAATACGTGTAAAAAACTTTTCCCTCCTTGTCAAGTGTTTTGCTAAACACACCTCAATGTGTGTGTTTGTTAACTTTTCACTTCCTCTCAAGAGACACGTTTTACCCCAAGGGCTGGAGCAAGGGGAGAAGAAACGAAGTGATGGAAAGAAAACAACAAAGCAACATCGGGAAAGAGCGTCTTCACATGCATTGGTTGGAATCGAGACTGTCACTTCCATGTGGACCTGTGCAGCCATAACAGATGCTGCGCCACAATCAACGGCTGAGGTACAACTTCTGGGGCACAGATTCATAGTCTCTCGAGATCGACGGGCGCCACCTACACCCTTGTGCAAATTAATTGAAACATAATGAATAATTCCAATAAAATAGCATGTTTAATTGTTCATTTTTTTTTTTCAAATCTGTCTTGTTTGGATCTTTTGATAATGAGTTCCATAGTTAAATTCCTAATATATTCATTGTACCTGTTTTCGACACTGAAAGTGATAACTTCATTAGCATTTATATTGTTGTTGTGTCCTCCCTCTAAAGAGTCTATGTTGGACTCTTCCGCCTACTATAAAATTAGTAGGAGAGAAGGCCTTAGGGGAACATTCGAATAGATTGAACACTGGGTTATCCGACACACACTCACTAGTTGTGTATTACTCTTCTGTTGTACTTACTGTTTAATGTATGATATATCTGTAACACTTGTTTTGTTATTTCTTTAACCATTTACTTGGTCACAACATATATCACAGCTTGAAGTAAACGGAAGAGATGTAAGAAATGTTGACATTTTGATTTTCCTCTTCTATGTACTGTTTCCGTTCAGTAAATGTGTGATCATGGCGTTCCCCAGCTTCCTGTCATTTTGTACCTATGTTTCTCTTTTCCCTATCCCTTCTAATCCATGTTCTGGCATCCTTTTACTCGTTACGTAGGTTACTCACCGATTTCCTCTTTCATTTTTGCTTGTGAGTGTCAGATTCTCCAAACCCTCTTTCCTCATATAAATTTCAACTGTCTGTTTCTGATTCTAAGAAACATTATGTATATGAAATAAACGACGTCTAAACTATCTAGATCTGCGAAATGTTATTAATTAAGATAATATCAGTAATACTATTTTTCGGTATACACAATTTTCGTAAGAGAATCATGTGAAATGGGTTGGGCAACGCCGGAGATTCTTGCGAGTACAAACAGAATCGACCCATATCTTTCGAAATTCTACACAATAAATTAATATTACATGTTCAATAAAAATTCTGAACGACAGGCAACGAAGGAAGAAAGAAAATTGAGGAAAAAGAAGCGGGATAATTGTACAAAGGGGTATCGAAATCACAAAGGGAAGGAAATAAAAGAAATCTACAGGGTGGTCCGAAAGACTTGTCACTCCTTTAACTCAGTTCCAAACTTTAGGAGCTCATGCCAGCCATCTGAAATAGAAAATTATATTATGTAGGGGTGACAAGACTTTCGAACCACCCTGCAGCAGACAGACAGACAAAAAGAAAGAAAGAAAGAAAGAAAGAAAGAAAGAACAGACAGAAAGAAAGAAAGAACGTTCTGTGTAAAATAACAACCGACGTGCATTACACTAAATTATTGAATATAGATTCTTCCATTGATTAGGAAGATAGTCATTATCAGGTCACACAGGGGTCACTGTAATCGCAAACAGTATCTCACTAACTATGGTATTCGCTAGTACTGATATTCGCTAATACTGTGATAGTAATCCACGTAATTAAATAGTTTACTAATCTTTTACTCATCTTACGTTCCAGTCTTTTCTTTAGAATATTATTAATACTAGCTACGAGTTCATACGATCATTATAACGTAAAGAAAGAAGGTTCATTTGGTGTTTCCCTCTTCCTCTCCTTGATGTCGGTACATCCTGTGAGTGTCATATTCTCTTAATTCGCTTTCCTCATTATGCCCCCCAAAGGTCTACAATCTCTTTCTACTTCTATACAGAAGTAACTTTTTTGTCATTTCTCCACGTTGCTCACATAATCTGCCCATTCCAGCATCTTTCAGTAGAACTGCATCTCTATTGCATTTAGTCTCCTTTTGACTGTGGGGAAAGTGTCTGCAATTCACTGCCTATATTACTTAGCAGTTCAGTACTATTTTCTTTGTTTGTAATAAAATGCTTCTGCCCTTACATAGAGATTAATAAATAAAGTGGTACATCAGCCGGGCATGTTATAGGTCCCCAACCTCATTGCCCTTGTCATCAGAAGACGTGTAGAAAGAAGTTAGCTGAAGATACCAGAATCAAAAACTTAATATTAATTTCTATATAGAGAACACAACACGCCTTATCTTTTATTTCTTCTTTATAACGTGTCATTTAGGCAATCATGGTTCTCCACAATTTCCTTCCTCGTATAGCTGTGGTTTGGTTTGTTTTAAGGCATGTCAACCTCAATGTGTTATTTGATGCCGTCAAAATTTTTATTGCTGGTATTTTTTCAAAAATATATTGCTAGTAATATTTTCTCCTTCAAAAATCTATTCCTAGTGATATTTTTTCTTCAGAAATGTATCTCCGGTAATTTTTTTTCAAAAATATATTGCTGGTAATTTTTTTTTTCAAAAATGTATTGCTGGTAATAATCTTCTTAAAAAAACAGTACTGCCTGTAATAATGCATTGTTGGTAATATTTTTATAAACTATTTCAGGTATTAAAACCTATTTTGACACTTTCATAGTGTTTTGACCACAGTTTAGGGGTTAACTATTTACCCATAGCTGGGACCCTAAAAGATGTTACCACTCTGAGTCAGAGGGGACCTGGGAGCACCAGAAAATAAGAGGTGGATCCACGGTCCTCAAAATCTCTTGACCAGAAGCCTTGCTATTGGACGTAGTTCATCGTCTTACCCAGGACGCGGATGTAGTTTATCATCATAACTAGGACGGATAGCTTTTAGTAATGTTTGTTTTTTACCATCCATCCCACTATACATTCATACAAGCTTCTCAGATAGGTGGCACGCTGCCTCTCTCTGTCATTTTTGCTTTCTATATTTCATCTAAGTGCCAGATTTTCCAAGCCTTCCTACCTCATTACATGATGGCTTTACAAATTGTGTCCGGAAGCACATCATATCAACTCATGCAAAATGCAAATTTTATTCTTTTTCCATTAATAGTTTCACAAAACCGCTTAGCATCTTCTGTCCAGACCATAGGGAATGCATTGCCTTTTTCTCTTCTTTTATGTTTTTCTGTTTTCTGTGAGTGAATGATCAAGGCCTTCCACAACTTACTATCCTTAATCAATGATAATCTCCTCATTATCCCTCCTAGTCCCTGTTCTGCTATCTATTTACACAAAATCTTTAGGTATTTCCCTCTAACCCTCTTACCTCGAGTATGTTTCATAGTTTGTCAATTTCTCCAAGTCTTCTTTCCTCATTATATGTCCCAGAAATTTCAGCTGTCTATTTCTGATCCCAAGTAGCAATCTCCATTTTGGTACCTATTTTGTTTTAAATTTCTTCGATGTTCATATTTTTTAGGCTATGGTAAATCTTACGCACCGTGTCCATTCAGGGTGTAGGCGATCATTGCTCTCCAGAAATCCCTATATTTTTAGCTCTTAGTAAACCTATTTGTCATTCAATCATACATTATGGTTAGGTAGATAACCCGATGTTTTCCTCTGTTACTTTTACTTTGGACATATCCAGTGAGTGTAAAATTCTCCAAGCCTTTTTCCTCATTATGCTTCCAAAAAATTTCAGCTGCTTCTTTCTGATTTTGAATATGAGACGTTTTTGTTCCCATTTTCATTACGACTTCCTTGTTGGCATCCATAATCCAACCACATAATTCTCAGCATCCTTCTGTAGAGTCTTATTTGTGTTGCCTCCAGTTTTCTCTTCATCTGTGAAAAAAATAGCCATCATTTACTGTCATATTAAAGATCGTTTTTACGTAACAGTTCAGCACTATTTTCATAATTTATAACGAAATTTTCTTGCTGCTTGATACTTTGCTTAGCTTTTGGAAGGTACCTTTTGCCATTCCAATGTATGTAAGGATTTCGGTGTCGCATTTTCCATCTTCTGTTAAAAGACTTGTTTGATGTTGACACCTCTAATTCGTAGTCTGTCTATATTTCTGAGATGAGGTATTATGATTACTTGCTTTATTTACATTATTCAGACTTCATTGCCATATTCACGACGCTTCAGCCGTTGCACGCTCCGGCTCTCTTCAAGGACACATGGCCCAGTGGATAAAGACGTTGGTTAGATCCATTGACTAGACCCAAAGAGTTGTGAGTCCAGTAACAGGTCACAGAAGTAGTGAATCAAAGAGAGAGTTGAGTTAAAAAGAAATAACCAAACATCCGGAAGAGTCATGGCACATGGAACTAGAACAATCTACCCCAGTGGACTAAATAAAGGGTTAAGTTCACCTGAAGGAGGCCGGAGCGTACAACGGCCGAAAAATTGTGAATATGAAAACCAAGATTAGTATAACAGTCCGAATAATGTAAATAATGCAAGTAATCTCATTCGTATCTTCCATCTTTGCTTTTACCCTCTTGGTGACAGACTTATATAATGTCTACTTACAATTGATACTCCTTTCATCTCGTTCCGTTTACTAGTTCTCAGTATTACAGGATTTTAAAAAATACATATTGTTTTTTTGATATCCTCATAATTTTCAATAGAATTTAACACTTACCTTTAATTAAACCCATTTAGGCATCATGCAACGAATCTCAGTTGCTACCGAAACGTATTCTTGGCCCCGGGAAATAAGAATTATTCTCTTTGAAACAAAAGTTGAATGCAGCAGTTATTCGAATATATTTCATCCGGCAACCAGGAAAACTTTTTGTATGAATGATTCATGATATTGTAATAACTGATCCGACGTGCAAATTTCGGATAATAACTGTGACATTCCTGTATTTATTGAACAATTTAGTTCATGCCACATTGACTGAAAAACCTACCAGTACAAAAGAATTCTCCTATTACCATATTAGTACAAAAACTCACAATCTTAAAATTTAAAAATTCAACCTCAGTGTTGCGACCGCACGCTCCAAAAAATTTCTTACAATTAACAATAATACATTTCTAAAATTTCGGATTACATCTACATTTTCGTTGTTCTGTTATTACCGAGAAGTAAAAACCAAAAACAAATCTATTTCCATACCTGAAGATGTCTGTAGGAAAAGACGAAAGCTTGTAAAAAAGTAAAAAAGACCTTATGCAACTGGAATTTATAAACAGGGATCATAACATTCATCTACAGGTCCGGGGTTAATGTACTTTATTAAATTTGTTTGCGAAGATGTATTCTCGCCATTTATATCATTAACTTCTATATCTGTTTTTTTGTATGAATGATTCATGTAATATATATATATATATATATATATATTGGTCTATCATAAAAGCCAGACAATTTTTGAGGCTACACCATTGTTTTTAATCTCTCTTTTTCACCATTTCATATGTGTCATGCGTGATACACGCAGAGGCGATCATGTATTTTTGATATATGACTGACGAGCCAGATTTTCCCAGAGCACGTTCCCATTTCTTTCCGCCGTAGACCAGTTGCCACCCAATCTGTCCTACAGTAGTTTGCCATTCCTTTCTGTGGTAGACCAGTTGCCATCAAAGGCTATAGAACCCGATCTGTCCTGATAATTACTCATAGCTGAGGAGAGAAGAATAGGATTCATATCTTTCCCAAGTGTATTGGCACGTAAGTGAATGTAATGGATTCGAATGGAATTCGAACTCGGCTCTCCAATTCCTCAATCCGACCCGCTATCCATTACTCCACCGTGTTTCCATTTTTTTACCAACGTACGTAATTGTAACTTTGTAAATATCTAATTCATGGCATTTGATTAAGTGAATGGCGGTTTCATCTGTCTCGGCAGAAGTAATTATTATTTATTCTATTAACTTGTATATTCACTTCGTTTTTGTGTCGAGTGTGACTTGCGGCTTTTGCTTGAATGTGACAGAAAGTTTCTCTCGTATTGTTAGAAATATTCTAGGGAGTCTTGCCGATTTTAAACGTGTTTTCTGGATAGTTTTCTTTCGTCAACCAGCGTTCCAATTCTTCCAATCACTTTACTAGATTCCTTGAAATTCTTCTGGTTTAGAATTTTGACTTCTTTTTTCTTAGTCTCGTTGTCCTTACTGAAAGAATTTCGTTTTTCCTACAATTTCCTAAATTCGAGTGGGGAGAAGAGATTTTTTTTTTGCTCTTACCAAAGGATTAATTGTTATACCCTTACATTGGGCTACGATTAACATGACTTCTGTTTCTCTTTTCAAATGCCTTCTACACAATCATGTGTTTAATATATCATGTAGCCGTAGTTCTTTCCGATTTTTTTAGTTTTCTGATTCGGTTTGTTTCAGTCTTACTGCGTTTTTGATAGTCATATATATATATATATATATATATATATATATATATATATAGATAGATAGATAGATAGATAGATAGATATAGAAGATGCCTGTCTGCCTGTGTGATACCTTTTCACTTGAGATTCATCCAACCGATTGGGACCAAACTTGGCACATACATTATACAATGTAAGAGATATGTTCTTAGCGTAAAAATTTATAGTTTTTTAAGAAATCAATAATCGATAGAGCCGACTAATAAATTGATAAATTCAACGTTTTTTCTCCGATTTCGATCAAACTCGGCTTGTAGGTTACTTACAGCATAACAAACTGAACGCAATCTAATACAAACTCCACTCAATTGTAGCCAACAATAAGTTGATTGTTTAACAGTCATTTGACAACTGAGTCTACCCGTATAGTGAAAACCCTCGTAATATAGCGAAAAATGGTGATTTTTACTGGTTTCTTTCTTATTTTTCGTTGATCTTTCAACCAATTTTCATCAGACTTAACAATTGCTTTATAAATGTATCCTCTTTTAAATACCTGGAAGTACACTGAAAAATTGAATTTCAAAAGCTCCAAAATAATTGTGGTCCTAAGTGGGTTTTCATGTTGTCTGTTACCCCTTCATATCCTCGGCTAACTTCGATTGAATATATATAGACTACTTCTGTTATATCTGTAATTGCATTAATTCAAAATGTTTTTAAATGAAAGTACTTTAAATTAATTGAAGAAGATAGACTCTGTTACATCTAAACATGATGCTGTTTTTGCTCCATTTTAATTGAACGCTTTTTTCTGATCGACCAGCTGGCTATGGCTGCTAGTAATTCCTATTTCCTTGCTCTGTTTTTTATCTTCAATTTTCGAGCGAGGTGCTTTTATTTATTTATGTTTAGTCTCTTTCCATTCTATGACATTATAATTTTTACTTTAATTTCTCGCGTTAATACATTTGTTGCGTGAAGCCAATCCTTAAGAATTTCACTCACTGTTGAATAACTGCCGGTATTGAATACAGTATGATATTTGTACTCAAGAGAAAGCAAACATTTTTTTTTTAAATATCAAATTGAATTTTTTTTTTTTTTTTTTTTTTTTAACTTGAAGGAAGTTTATTAGAATTTAAAATTGCATCGTGGGAATGTTGCAGAAAAATAGCATCAATTAAAGAAAACGGAAATGTTATTATCTGCATTCTTTGATGGTTTTCAAAATGTGGAAAAAGAGAGAAAAATCGACCCGATAAAAACCGGAACTCTTTTGCCAAATCGATAATTAAAAATAAATAAATTTTAAATTTCGAGTTATTTTTCAAAACAAAATAGTTAAATTTTTTACTGAATTTTGGATTGTTTTATTTTAAATTTATTTAACTATTTATTTGGTTACGTTATCCCTGAAGCATTTATAATTTCTCACGAATTGCAATTCACACTATCATATATAGATATGTAATCAAAGAGCGAAAATGATAGAATGGGATAAGTTATTTCTTGTTTTTTGTGTTTTCAAAACGATCTAATTTGTCTCGAGAGTAAGTCAAAAATAGATGGGCTTCTCCAGGTTAAAACGTGCAAGACACGCCACATGATGAGCACACCGAGAAATCATTCGGAAAGACCAAAGATCTAGTACATGACAGTGACAAATGGAGGCGAATAGTTGACAGCTCAACATATCGGCGCTCCAACGACTTATTCCGTGGTTAAGGGCGAAAGAAGAACAAATAAAAAATTATCCGAACTTTCGTCACCATATATCTTTAAGTTTGTCACACTGCCTTCTGCTCATGCGGGCTTACAGTTGGTTGTGGTCCTGTGAGTGAAGTTTGAGCTTGATCTCGGCAATTTTGTTACTGCTGCTACAGTGTAAACATGGCCGTTCCGATAGCAGTGTGCAACAAAGTACGTTGATCCGAATCCGCTGAGAACATGGTCGCTCATCGATGTTAACTCACCGGTTCCACATTGCCAGCTCCCGAGCTTGCTGAGTCTCTCTCGGCATTGGTTAAGCTTGACGGATGCTCTGCTCATCGCTGTGCGATACCCCTGTACGGATACATTTAAAGTTCTCGATCTTCTTGTAAACACTTCTACGCGGTAGTGCACTGTTGCCGTATTGGGTTAAAGTCCACCTTCCGACCCGACCAGTGAAATCAGTCACAACTCTTACCACTTAGTTAAAGTTTTAGGGCACCCAGTGTAGAACAAATTCCCTATAATAGCTCACTGGTCAAGGTGTCAAATTTTCTGCTACCGTAAACTTCATTTTTCTTTTTTTACATTTTTTATTTATTGGAGTAATGTAAAAGGAGGAATTGTGAAAATAAAAATCGTGTAGCGTCTCTCTTTTCAGTAGGGAAAACCTGTCGAACTTGAAAATTCAGCACTCAAAATACTGGGTTTTGATCTGGATTCATATATTATCTACTGGCACTAATTGGAAGTGGGCAATTTCGCCTCGTGTATGTCTTCAAATCCGATGGCAAACTTTTCGCTCTGCACTGTTAAAAACAATTGCAATGTGACGTTACATGTATGCTCATATAATGCCATTTTATTTGAGTATATTGGATCAAGTGGAGGGCTGTTTAAAGATAAGCTAATGGTATTCTAGTCATTGGATCATAACAAAAGATAGAATTAAGACTTCGTGTCGCTTAGTAGATAATTGTAACGTGTTTGGAGGCTCCTACTTTAGTTTAGAAAATTTGTCTCGCAGCACAATACACTTGCATAAGTAATTTGGTTAACTCATTACTGGTAAGTTATACAAACAGAACGGTTAGGTTTTCGCTGATTTTCTTTTTACTTTTTTCTTAGTTTTTAAGCGTATTGCATTAACTGATGTGATTGGTAGCTTCTCTCATCTATCACCACAGAAATGAGTTGTTTTTTTAGTATTATTTCTATTAGGATTTCACATTTGTTGAGTTTTCACACCGGTTGTGACTAGCGGCTTTTAACAGAGACTAACAGTTTTTCCGTACTATTGAAAGAATATGAAAGTGCTAGATGCAAAGAGAAAGCGAAAATCAAAAAGAAAGAAAGAAAGAAAGAAAGGGTGAATGAAACAGAAACAATGAGAAAGAGAAAAATAGAAAGGAAAATAAAGGAGGTCGGGAAAGAAAGAAAGAAAGAAAACGTGAAAGAGTGAACGAAACAAAAAGAATGAGAAAGAGTAAAAGAGAAAGGAAAATAAAGTGGGTAAGGAGAAAGAAAGAAAGAAAGAAAGAAAGAAAGAAAGAAAGAAAGAAAGAAAGTTCTGCAACCTAGTGAAGATTACAGAATAGAATAATCAAACGAAGGTTGGTAATGAACGATAATACTTAGGACAAGAACAACACATATAAGATTCGCCAGCGGTGCGTAGAAGTAGTAGTCAACTGCTAGGAGTTAAGCGAATTCCACAATGAATACCCAACTGCAGGATATCTACCAACCGCCCCACACAATCAGATGTGACACAAGACTGAATTTAATGTGGGGCATCCGAGCCCGTAGGCTCGGCCAAAAATTACCCCTAGACCTCGTATAAAACGGGATCGGGTTGCTTTTTCCCGAGACAAGACTCTACCCTTCGACATAATCATGTCTGGGGATCCTCTGTGCCCGAAGGCAGAGTATTTGATCAGCACAGTTGGAAACGAATCTCCAACAGCAGGATATCTTCCAACCGCCCCACGCGGTCAGATGTGGCACAAGGTTGAATTTAATGTGGGGTATCCAAGCCCGTAGGCTCGGCCAAAAATTCTCCGTAGACTACTGGGGCTGGGTTCCGGTGACGAGACTCTGCCCTTCGACATAGCCTCGTCTGGTGATCCTCTCTGTCCGAAGGTGTATTCTCTTTCTTTGCTGAGAGAGCGTTTATATATCCACCTGCCATCTTGTTGTTTCACGTGTGCGCCTCCTTAGCGCAACAAGGTCGACCACCTGTTTACATGTTCTCACTAGCCATGGATAGTCTTCGAGGCGCAAAATGTACGTTTGTCGACGAGAAGATCTCTGTCTAAGTCAGACAAACGATGAACATCATTTCTCTGACGTTTTTATGTGATAATGAGTGCAAAGACTATCTTGGTATCATCCGGGCTTAATCCAGTACATATTAAGATAATCATAGATCAAATTCTCGTAGAACAAATGTTTGTTATTGGCATTAAATTCGAATCAGTCAACCGTTACGAAATTACCGAAAAGTATCGCTTCCAAGCATGGCACCAATGCTAATACATCGGAAATAGAATTAAAATTACCGGACATCTTTCTGTCTGTGTTCTTTTTGCGTTGATAAGGCCTGCAAGTGAGAGATTTTCAAAACCAATATTCCTCATTATGTGTCCAAGACATTTCCTCTGTATCTCTCGGATTCTGATTGTAATTCTCCTTTGTCTGTCTATATTTCTGAGATGAGGTATTATGTACACTATTTACATTATTCGGACTATTGTCCTCATCCTGGTCACCATATTTATTACAACGTTTCGGACGTTCTACGCCCCGGCATTCTTCAGGTGTTTAGAATGTCGAAATGAACCCTTTATTTCGCTCACCGGGGTAGACTGTTCTATTTAGACGTGCCATGTCTTTTGGATGTCAGTTATCTCCTGTTAATTCCCCTCTCAAAGTTCTCCCCCGCCTTAATCAGATATTGAACTCACACTCTTTGGGTCACTGGATTTTACCAACACCTTTATCCATTGTGCCATGTGTCGGTTAAGGCATTGAAGAACTTGGAGAGGGGGATTAACAGGAGATAACTGATAACTGACATCCATTAAACATGGTACGTGGAACTAAAACAATCTACCCTAGTGAGTGAAATAAAGGGTTCAGTTCAGCATTCCAATCACCTGAAGAAGGCCGGAGCGTACAACGGCTGAAACGTCGTGATAAACATGGCGACAAGATGAGAACAATAGTCCGAATAATGTAAATATTCTCCTTTGTGTTGTTATTTTTCGGATGACATCTTTGTTGCTTACGCGCTCCGTCCGTGGTATTGTAAGCAACTTTCAGCAGAACCACATTTCTATTACCTCCAGTTTTTATTTAATCTCTGAGGAGATTTTCCAAAATACCCTGCTATATGAGACAATCGATCTTATATAATAATTCATCACCCGAAGAAAGCACCCAAAGCCACATGCCATATGCAGATATTAACCGAAGAAATCCGGAGTGGAATAAACTTTAATTTTACACATACCAGATTTTACAACGATAAAAATACGTTATTTAGATATGGACTATTATCCTCATTTTTTTTTATCACAAGGTTTCGACCATTATGCCCCCGGACTTCGTCAGGTATTTGTCGATCCAGGTTATATTCAGGAAATTTTCGAATTAAACGATTTATATAATCTCCAGGGATGGATGATTCTTGGTTCTTTGTCCCATCTTTAGAGTTGTCTTGTTTTGGGATGTCTAGTTACTACGCATCCTATTTCCACTGATTGCTTTCGTTTGGTTTGTTTACTTAATGCCGACAAGATTGTTATGGCTGGTAATAGTTTTTCAAAAAATGTATTGCTGGTAATAATTTTTCCTCAAAAAATTAATTGCTGGTATTAAAACAAATTTCTACATCTTCATGGTGCTTTGTCTCCAGTTTGGAGGTCAAATATTTGCACATAGATGGGAGCTAAACAGGTGCTACCACCCCGGGTCAGAGTGGACCTGGGAACACCAGAAATTAGGAGCTGGTTCCACGCTCCTCAAAATCTCCTGATCAGAAGTCTTGCTGTTGGACATAGTTCATCGCCTTTTCCAGGATGTGGATGTAGTTTATCGTCATGCCCAGGACAGTATTTCGACGAAGTCGACGTACATAGTATGCGGCCCAGATATTAAACACACATTTACTATGTCACTAACTTCAAGAACAAACGCATTAAGATACCAAGCTACTGTTCCGTGATAATAACAACAATGATATGGACAATAATTCGAATGTAACCTCACCCCAGAGATTCAGAAAGACAGAATATTACATTTCAAACAGTTTGGAACTGCCATTATGTCACATAAACATTTTTTAATGTTCACAACACAAACATCTTGATCTTTACTATTAACATAATAAGTTGAACGATCATGGCTAAGCATTGATCCACACAAAACAGCTTATTGATTTAACTCTGTCTTGGCACGTTATCGCTTTGACCAATTAGAGATCAGTACAGATAAAATATATTTTCTAGCCAATACATTTTAGCTACGTCCAATTCTTTCTGTAATGTAATTGATCCTGACCAGCCATATTGATTTCAGTTACTTTCTCACAGACGTGACGTGGCCTGAACACATGAATTTAAGAGTGCTACTAGACTAGCATATAGACATTACCCTTTAACTGTTGAAAAACCTAAATGCAACCGTCTCTACTTTAATAGTTTCTTTTTTCACTCTTCCCTCTTGTGGAAATCCCTTGCTTGCCTTCACCTAACTCCCCTGCAAACTAGTGGCCTTCTTGCCTTGCTTGCGGAGGAAGGATTAACAAGAAATTTCACTTGTATTTTAAAAATATCCAATGTGATTATTTGGTTCTTTAAGCAAATCGAAAAACTATTTGCCGGTTTCATGATGTTTTCGCAACAGTTGTTTTAATCATTCACAACGGTTATTTCGGAATAATGACTGCCTTTTTTTTGTGGGGCATAGCCCCTTCGTGCTGGGGGTAGTCTTGGGGAGACGGTCTTGGTTCACGCATATGTTGCTTTCTTCTTTCTGTCATCTTCCCCCCGGGGCGATCTCTAGTTGGTTAATTCGGATGTAAAATGAGAGACATCAGTAAAAGGAATTTTAAACTTATTGGTTTTATTAAACACGTCGACGAGTACATTTTTAACTAGCCAGTCGGGTCGTTCTATCACCCTTACTGGGGAGGGGGGGCAAGTTCCCCGAGGCACGATATAACCACGTCTGATCTCTTTGACATGTAAAAACTTACTCCTCGAAAAGTTTGCTAAATCTAACATTACCACGTTCGGCTGAGAAAAACAAAATCGAGATCCCTATTTTGTCTACCGCCTGACCTTAAAGGTCAGCCTCAGAAGGTTTGAACCAAATACACTACTACTAAAAATTAGTAGTATGAAACTGTTATTTGTTGTTGTTTTGTCACAATATCTTGGTTACGTGATATGTGTTCTGTAGTTCTTCGGTGTAGTGAGAATTTACTTCCACTCCAGTGAGTGCTTCTGTGTGTTAGTCCGCTACTAAGCCAATCGTAAGATTCAAATGAACCTCTTGAATTGCGCTAAAGTTCACGTCTCTTGGAACAAGTTTCTGAAATCCTCAATTCACTGTTTTCCCGCATCTGATTAATTATTCGTACAAGCTGATTATGTCTACGCTAGTTCTGCCGTTGGAGTTATCTGAACACAGTATATGTACTGACACTATTTCATTCAATAACATTGTTCGCTTTCTAATAATTTGAGGGGTGTTACGTTCAACAACGATGTGGAGCTAAAAACATGTCTTGAATTTTTCGAGTCAAAACTTTGTGATTTCTACCGTCGATGCATTAAACAGTTTATGGATCGTTGGAAGGAGGTCGTAAACAATGAATGGAAATGATTCATCAGAACTATTAATAAATAATAAGTATTAAAATAAATCATAAAAACGAACGAACTCATGTAAAAGCCAAATATGTAAGCTGAAACACTTAGAAAAATATCAACGGGGGCACACAGATGAAGGATTTAGTTGTATGAGATGAGTGGCAGGTGAAAATTTGCGCCGATTTTAGTTGTATGAGAGAAGAAAAAAGAATTCCAAGGACACACAAGCGCGGATATTAGATGCATGAGATCGGAAGTACATGAGAAAAGAAATCCAATTAGGCACACTGACTGATATTAGATACATGAATGTAGAAGCGCATAAAAGGAAATCCCAAGGACACACAAGCGCCGATTTCAGATGTATGAGAGGGGAAACATATAACAAATGTCTACAGGGCACTCAGGTGCAAATATTAAATTGTCTGAGAGAAGAAACACCTGGAAAATGAAAACCAAGGTCCCACAGTAGCACGAACCCGAGGGCATGTGCGAGCTTCATTAGGTTAACAATCTGTATTTCAGAATTCATTCGGAAATTACGCAGGCAAAACGTTATGATAAAATAAAAGGACAGAGTCATAGAAATTGTTTCCATTGAGCTATATGACTAGACACGAGCATTTATTTTATTAAATTATATGACCAGATACAAGAATTTATTTTATTAAATTATATGACCAGACACAAGCATTTAT